ACTGCTGGCCATTTGACGATAAATCAGACCCAATGGCCGGATGGAACATTCTAGAAGTCTATAAAACACCATGGGTGGCTTCCGAAGATGCGTATGGAAAACTGTTTGCATATCTGCGCAGAGAATTCCAGGGGTTCCTGCACCGTATGGCTACTCTCCCGATAAGCTTTCAACTTCATAACGTTGACGCAAAGCTGCTGCCTCGCTTGCTTATACCAAAGTTATACGGACGAATTGAGGTAAGCGTACAGGTTATACCTATGTCTGTTCCCAGCTGACAAGGGTACGTGCAGGTCTCCAATATCTCAGATTCTGGCTACGTGGGTACCCGCCAGATTCTTTCTTTGTTCGCGCCCCTTCTTCAGCCTCAAACACTGAATGCACATGCCACCATGATAACTTGTTATCTCAATGCCGTCATGGAAATTGTGAAGACGACGAACGCGGACGCGATGCCAGACATTGACTTCCTGGCTAGATACCTGCCTGAAGGGTTGGACATTGCCAAGATCGTTCGTCAGGGGGCAGAAATCTACAAAGCCTGGGACTGTCGAACGTTCTCAATCGAAAGTGACCGCTACTTCAACAAGTTCGTTCGCACCTACTGCTAGTGTTTCTTGTCACCATGTTAACGTATGTCTAGGTATATGAAGCTCCAGGATTCCAAAGGCGCGGCAACAGATGCAGGAATGAGGATGAAGACAGTAAACACGATTGTAGACTCGTGGCCTTTGAGACTAGGAACTGGAAAGACAGATACGGCTGCGCAACAGGAATTCAACCTCCTACTATCATCTAGCTCGAGTGGCGTAGAACGTTACGTAGAGTGGTCGAGGAACTCCTAACTTACGACATACTATTCGCGGGACTTCAATAAGTGCTTGTGTAGTAAATCAGACTGTAGCTTCCACTAAGCGAGAAGATCCGTTACATGATATCTCAGGTAGCGATGCTATGAAGCTACATGCTCGTGAGTGGGAGTGAGGTAGTGAAGCAATACAGCATAAAGAACACCTTTTTGATGATTCCAGCGCCTACTGCTGCGAGGCAAGTGCCACCGTATATTGGAGGATGCAAAATATGAGAAGAAGGTTGTTATAGGCACTTCAATATTCAGTTCGGGACTCGGCAGGTGTCGTCAGTGTTGAAATCTACACTCAAGAAGACTCGCAGACCTGGGATTACAGCGGTTGACTTTTCATGAGATGAAGCGTTGGTGCAAACACGCCCCACCCATAGGCAAGCGAGCAAGTCAGCTGAGAGAAACTGGAATGGAGACTGAATAGACGCGGTCATGTAAGCCAGCTCTAGCGTCCTAGTATAGGAGCGATAATTAATCTGTCCTTGGGCTTGAGTAGCTCGAAAGAGCAAGTTCAGAAGTACGAACCCTCACTGGGTTACCAGTGATGCATAGTCTGTGGCGTTTGCGCTACGATCAAAGTGAGTGGTTTGTGCGCGAGAGAACGCGCCCATCCGCGCCTCTGAAGTCAGTCTATGTTGTCGTCATGCTCCAGCTCATCTTTAAGGAAGTTTTCGCACGGTAGATGCGGGCACTACAGACTAGAAGACTAGGGGATAGCGTATACTTTGTTCTTTGCAAGTGTTCCAGCCCAGCTTCATTGCCGTCTCTTTTACTCACTGTCAGAGTAAATCAAGAAGTGACCGATGTAATGAGCACCGGAATCTAGACACTTTTTTCAATCCCACACTACGCACTTCTTAGCCGGCCAGCAGGAGCGACTCATCATTTATCACGTCATCATATATACACAGCCAGATTCTCAGTGATCTCTGCAACTAGTGAAGTCTCGAACAACATTGGTATACTCCCATGCACCTGCAGTTTCCGCACACACGGCTTGTTTGTCACCCTGCGCGGGGCGTTGATTTTTCTAGAAGACACATGCTCTAAAAAAGCTTAGACTCTGTAAACATCTCGATTCCATTGGTCCGAGTATCGAGCGGCGGGTTGACTCATAGCAACGCCAGTAAAAACTAGCACTATCTGGGTAAGGTCACCACTAAACGAGAAGGGCTGGGCATGGGACCAAGAGTCGCCTGCTTACAGAAACCGGAAGCTGCAAGTGCATGGGAGTGTACGGTAAGACACTCAAGAATAGCTAGTTGGTCGGCTGCACTGAGTTGTTATCATTGCTGTCATCGCTCGAAAGCTGACTTCTGTACTGGGCGGCGTTGCTGACTTGGTGTTGTGCGGGGAAGAGGGCATCAAGGGACGTGCATAAGGCTATTTCTACTTTTTTCGTTGGGAGCTACGAGCGAATTGTCCAGCGATCACCGTGTGCTTATTGACGTGATCGGGAGATATTGCGATAAGGCTGCAGTAGTACCCAGAGGGTTAGCACAGGTCAGGCCATTACCATCACATTCTTTATTCGTGTGATGCCTAGGACCGCGCAAGACTTGATTGTCTTTCTAGACCCCGCGTTCTAGCACATTCCTAATCAAACAAGGTGACTAAGATGAAACTGCGATTGCCCAGATCAGTACTCTAGGATTTGGCAAGACACTTGTACACTTTCTTGTACACGCGCGATTCTCGAACTGGAGGAAAATATCAGGCGTGGCCACTATGGTTCCGTATTTTCGAGTGCATGCGTGTGTATATACAAAGCGTTTGACATGATGGCGTGAGCAGACAAGTGCGGACGCGGGGTAGATCGAGTCACTAATCTGGACCACAAATCTGATGGGGATCTGCGTCAGATGAGTCTTGACAAAGTCTAGGGTAAACTCTGTTTGGCACCGTGCTAGTGGATCATTAGTGGTCAGAGATGAAATTCTATGTAATGTACATCTGAACGTTCTGCTCGTGTCACTACTGTCGCACCTTCAACGAATTTAGGACTTCGTCACCGAACTTTCAACCGCGAATCTACGTCTTTGATACAATGGGCAAGAGCCACCTTGATCAGAGGCTAGTATACCTAGCTCTTAGAAGTATTTTCAAGGGAGCAGATGCTCGTGTTCGTAAATCCAAAAAGATTCACGAGCTGATCCAGAAGCATCACCACCAACACGGCATTAGCAATCTTTTGGAAGAGCATAACATGGACATGATTTGCAACGTGGCCAAGACCCTTCTCGAACAACAAGTATTCGAATCAACACTAAGAGCAAAAAGCCGATTCCCCGAGGTGTCAGAAGATTCGCAAAGTCAGAGCGAAGGACAGGCAACTCCATCGTCCTCGGCATCAAGCACAGAGACAGGTGCCACTCGACGCGTAGTTGGAGGCAGACACGATATTGCTGCAGTAAACGACGACGGGGATTCTGTTCATCAGATCTCAAAGAACAAACGAACACGTGAGCATCGGAACATTCATCTCTTTATGTTAACTAAGACGGCGTAGCTCTCCAGAGTGTTAACAAACAAGTTCCAGAACGCACTTATCAGCAGATCGGTAGTCCCATACCGTCGCTCTACCCAATTTACTTACCATTCTCCACTCAACACAAGGTCCTCGTCAGCGTCCAGCACATGCTTGAAAGCGCCTGTTACACCTTTGCTCAAAAGAAATTGAGATTTGTACTGGAAACAGAAGGACTGGAGTGTGCTGAAGCGGTTGAGCTCCATCGATGGTCAAACATATTCCAGACACAACAAGTTGAATTCCCTGAAGACAATCTGGAAGCTCTTGGCAGGCCTCTACCCGAGCTCCTTCGCTCAATGACAGAACTTCGGCATGCGACAGTCCACCGGACCCGCCTGAGTGCAAACGCCGCCATACAGATCATAAGCGATGCAGAGTCGTTCGTAAAGCTGGTAAAAAATGACACATGTATCAACGGCATCTCAAGGTTGAGACGCGAAACAGAAACTATCGTCAAGGCACTGAAGGCTAAGAAAGGCTCGTTGGAGCTGAAGTTGACAGGTATGGAGAAGCGTCTGGAAGCTCAGAGGGCTGATTTGGAGCGTCAGAAACTTGAAGCGATCGAGAACGCATTCAAAGAAGATCGGATATATATTTTATCTGCAGGAGCAAATTTGGAGCGCGCCTTGACATTGCCAGTGACTGCGATGTACAACAGAGCCGCAATGGAGCACGAGCCGGCTTTGGAGGCAGATATCGAAGAGCATGTATGCGAAGGTGAAACCAGCATTTATAACTGTAGAATACAATAGGCAATTAAGTGCAACGGCTTTGAACCGTAAGATCGTAGAGAAACGCAGACACGATGTGGGTTTGTGTCGGCATGTTCATCCACCACCATATACAGCACCAACTGATTGAGACCTCAAAGACTGTGTCCGTGGCCGTCTTGAGTTGCGCGGAGTTTAGAGCTATCCCAACAACGAGAAACTGGCACGAAAATGAGGCTGCACTATCGCCTAAGAAGCTGCTCTCGCGGAGTCCCTGGAACTTATAGTGGCTACGCTACGATGATCAGCTTGGGATATTGTGCTGAATATAGCGGTGTATGTTAGACGGCGGTATGGTGACCTATGTCTAGCGATTACGAGTTGTAAGTTGAATGATGAGGAAAGATAGATGGAAGGGGGTGACTGACATCACGAAACCTTAGGAACTTGCGCGTTACATGGTTGCCGTGACGACCAGGGATTAAAGGACACCAGTTAATGCACACTTTCGATCAGTATAACGATCAAGCCCTTACTGAAGGTAACTGCTACAAGAAGCAGCCCTAAATCAGTACAAGCATGCTAACAAAAGAATTCTGTAAGTTGAACATTCAATCCAGGTTGGAGACTCCGGTGAATACGGATAGTAGAAGTGTAGCGAAGAAGACACCACAAGTTCACTATGGAGGTATCTCAGCGTACGCACGACGAGAAGCAGGCGGTCCTCGCATCCTATCATGAAGGTTGAACGAGAGTATGACGCAGACATAGCGAAGGAGAGCTGGAACAATATGACAACAAACCTGGAAGCCGTGACCGAGACGCCAACATGAAAAAGAGCAATCCTGCAACGAATGCGATAGGGAATACATTTTCCGCGCCGACTGACGCCTGACGTCATCTACTGGCTTCGAGACCGAAACAGACATTCCAAGGCTCCTCTCGTTTTCGTTTTCTGCCCCCAGGAACGTCGCCTTTCTCTTACATCTGATAAACAAATGTCGAGAATTGCTATCAAAGCCTCTATTTTCAACTCTGGCATTGAAGAATTCTTGCTGTTGCGTGTTGCGTGTTGCGATAAGCTACTACAAACATGAAGGTCTGGAGGAACGCGTCCGCGCCAACCCAACAACTGCAAAAACCGTTGCCCATCGCGCGCCAAGCCTGTTCAACCCACCAGCACGCTCGATTGGAACAATGGCGGTCTTTCACTTTGTCCCCAACAAAGCTGTTGCATGTAGGCAGCATGTGATAGTAATACAAGATTAGATGCGCATCTGTATTAACATCACCGTATCAGAAATGCTCTGTGAAAGCAGATTGCAGGCAATCGCAGTACATGCGCCTAGCCTCTTACACAAGAGCAAGTATGTCCTCCTGTAAAACTTCCAATGACTTGCTTGGCGGTTACAAAAAAGCAGTGGATCATTCCAGAATCAGGGTTGCTTCTACAACCCCAAGGAGCCGATGGCTGCAGGTCGGCTACGACTCCGGATCCATCGGCACCCAGATTCATGCTCCCAGCAAGTGCTTCCTACTGCTCTGACCAATGCTTCGCTCGCAATGTTCTGTCTCGTAGGGCGCTACTGTCTTCACGCTTCATACCATCGCGTTGCGATCTAGGCGTTGTCAAGTGCGCAATGCTGCTCGAACAGACGCGCGAATGCAGCTCTATATTAGCATCACGAGTGGCGCGGATGGAACAAAGCAATGTGTGACGATCTGATTGAATCATCGGCTTAGTGCTTCTTACCCAGCGCGTAACGGCGTGAGTTGTACAACAAAGGCGTGTTCTGTGCACGGGCCACAAGAGATCTGAATCTTCTTGTGGCCTGTGCGCATCCCCAGCATTTGCTCCCACAGGCACGTGCACATGCTAGATCAAATGGTTGCCTTTCTTCTTGGTAAGTTAGTCCCGAAATTCACAAATTGGGAGCATACCATCGCTAGACTAGCATAGTATAGCTACGGAGGAACGTAGCCACAAAGCATCAATGCAAGCCGCAACCATGGAACACAGACATCCTTCTGCGTATAACGGTCACAGCCTAAATGAGCGCCAACACAGTTGTTAGTCTAACCCTCATCCGAAGATTGCCACTCAGCAGCTTTCACAAAGTCCCGCATCTACGAGCACTCAGGCTGAAAAGCATCGCCTTTCATGCAAATCAACTCCCAAGCATCTGGCATGTGATCGTCAGTACTACAGTATACTTGCTTGTCATCTGGTAATTAACCTCCCTCCCTACGCAGCGAACAGCCCGGTGGGCCGATAACAGCCAATAAGAGTGCACGGATAATCGATATCCTGACCTACCGCAATACTTCATTGGCTGGTACCGGCCCACCGGGCTGTTCGCTGCGTAGGGAGGGAGGTTAGTCCCGTTTATTGCTTTTTGAGCCCCTCTTCGAAGAACTGGTGCCCCGTGGCCACCCTCGATAGGGTTGGAGGAGATTCAGGCAAGCACTCTCATATTCAGTAATCTTGACGAGGCGTACAAGCAAAGTGTGGTTCCTCGAAAGCTACACCACTGTAAGTTGTTGCTGCTATTGTGCGCGTATATTCAATGTAGGGCTTTTACATCATGAATGAAGACCTGCGTAATTAGTGCAGCACTCTGTACTTCCCAGATACACTGCCCCAGCTCTAGCAGCTCAGTGCCAAAATCCGACAAAACATCATCTACAGTAGCTTGAAACTTGGACCGGTTGTTCCTGTACTCTGTGTCACTTCCGAACGTTGCGATGTACCACTCCTTCTTCCAAGCAGCCACAGACGCTTGAAGCCATGGGCTATCCGGTTTGATCTGCTCAGCAACAACGTAGAACGAAGACCTTATAGCATGTTTCCTGCGCGGCTTGAACAATCGGAGCGACGAGAATTTTCTTAAAGTGTACAGGAGGTATACCGTATCCCAGGCCTCAAGTTTGTGTAGCAGAACCACAATTTTGCCGTTCTCTTTCACACGCTGAAGCGCGAACACAAGTTGACTCGTCATTAGCCGCCATGCCTCACGTCTCTCGCGATATTCCGCTCTGGGATGAGTCCGCAGGACTTGGCCATCGCAGAAGACCAGATCAAAGGCTTCGCCGTAAAAGGGACGGTCGAACACGAAGCTTTTAGTATCTGGGTGCTCCACTGGAATGTCGGTAACGTCCATTTCAGCCGCCAGCATTGTGATATCAAGGAAGCGGACTTGGACTCTCGGATCTTCTCGCCAATTGTGAAGTATCATCTTATGACCGCCCTGAGAGACGGGGAGACTGATCCCACATACCCTAGCATCGCGGTTTCTCTTGAGAACAGAGGCTGTGAAGCCACCAGGTGCCATGCAGAGATCGAGAATGGCAGGATTTCTGCTAAGTGATGAAGTTGATGGCAGGACTGAAGTCATCTCGTCGAGTTCGTCACCGATCTGGCACATCATTTTGTAGAATATGCGTTTGCCGGACTCATCCGCGTTATCTGCTCGGTAGCGCTGTACTCTAAAGTGGTCGTCTCCTTGGGAATTCTCCCATCCCTGCTCGTGTAATCAGCACTGGATAGTATGAGTTTATAAAGGAGGCTTACTCTGCGCCGAAGATCCGTGAGTTCCCTGAATATAGCTGCATGCTTGAGGCAGTACTCCTTGATGATCAGGTTCGGGCATGGGGTCAATGAATTGTCCGACGAGGTTTTGGGACGCCCGTCGTTTGAAGTTGCATTTCCCGGCTCGTTATCCAGCATTGTGTCTCTGAAGGTTGTCAGTAATTTTCAGCTTGACGGTGCGGAAACCAAGAATATTCCAGGGTCGAAACCGCGAACGGGTCACGTTGTCGATCGCCACTTTTTCTAATTGTTCTTACTCACGGCTCAACAACGGTCGTCGGAAGCACTATCGCAGTTCCGACCGCAAACGTGTCACCGCATCACTCGAGCATCGCCGCAAGCCACAGTCACACAACAGCGTCCCAAATGCATGCAACGCATAGCCTGAAGATCGCCGATGCAACACCTATTTGGCGATCTCTGAGCATCACTCGAGCGATCTCTGAGCGTCCGTGAGCTAGACTTGCAGTGTAAAGTCCAGCTTGTGGTCAACCATCGGATCATGTGATCGTGTAGATCTTACGGGACCGACAAAGGTATGGAGCATAGATGGATGATGATAAGAAGGTCGACGTATCGGGCACGATAGGTCCAAGGAGTACGTCAACTGCTGTCGGTACGCAATCGAAATCAACTCCACGACATGAACCATTATTCAACTTAGGTCCCGCTGTGATATGATCAGAGGAGCTGTCTTCTGCAGAAAGGGCGATTCCATCGTTTCTCGTGCGACAGCTAGATGCCCATGGAGACAAGTTTAGTTTATTTACTGGCCCTCTTGCTCTGATAGTGACAGTGGCAAGCACGGTTGGTTCCTGGTTCTGCGGTCTGCTTCAATCTCACCACATCGTCCACATAGCAAGGATCCTTCTCTACCAATACGGGCATTTCGTGGGGGTATCCAGGTAAGGTCTAGGAAGGTTACTTGTAAAGATCGAGCGCTGGCGAGCGCCTGGAGACTGTTAAGCAAGTCGAAGCGCTTACTAGATTTTCTTACAAGGCTCATGGCCTCGAGCCAATGAAGAGAGTGCTGCTGCAGAAGGACGTGCGTCGCGTTTCCGTCGGCGTTACCTCACCCGCCCTGTTTGAGATGATCGAATTAGTAATAGCACGTATAGTGTAGATCTAGTGACAGGCTGCTAGTAGCTGCCCGCTCATCGATCTCGCTCCTAAACATATCAGGTCCGGACAAGCTGCCTGTGTCTTGCCATCCTTGTTGTGCGCCCATGATGTAACCACGTCTAGCAGCTCGGTGCGAGTGTTCGGTAGACATCATGCGTGGTGCTTCTCGTTGTGATACCCAAGTGGGCGCCTTTTGCAATAGGCGAGCTAATCGAGGGGTGCTCTCGAATCTCTCGCCGCGACCGATACCAGACCTTGACCCGTCTCTCTCCATACAGAAGCGGCATCTGAACCTTGAAGATACCCAGAAGAGAGTATGGTACGTCCTCCTCGCGCCCCATGTTGCGTCCTTGGGCCCACCACATACGTTCGTCCACAGTAAAGCATGTCACCGAACTGCCTCCAAGCACCTGTACAGCAGTTCCAGTGTCTTCGTGAAGAGTCTACATCGCGGACTTCTCGTCTCCAAGATGCTCTCTTTGCTTAGAATAAAATCCAGTAGTTGCTGGAGCGACAAGCTCTTGAAGTGTCCAACTTCACTCAGACTATCTGCTTTTCTTGATTGCAGGCTTTCGCTTTCTATGCGTGTCGCTGTCTTCTGGAAGGGGACCGCTGTAAACATCGGGAAGATACAAGTACCTCCTTGTCGTATCTCGTCCCGCTCTTTCCGCTGCTCGTTGACAGATTGTCGAGGGCTACTTCTTGACCCTTCGTCCCAGGTAGTGAATAGTATCCCATAAGAAGGGATCTCATCGTCACTGACCATGTTCTTTGTACAAGCAAGTCCGCCACCATCTGGGTAGTACAAGAGTCGCATCGCATCGTGAGCGGAGACTTGTTACACGGGGTTAGGCTATACTTCTCTAGGCTCGGTCCGTACTAAGGCGAGGTAGACTAAAGCGGTAGTCCGTGAGGTATCGTATGGAATGATCAGGTGGAAAAGAGTTATCGTTGTAACCAA